TGTGTGTGTGTGTGTGTGTGTGTGTGTGTGTGTGTGTGTGTATGTATGTATGTATATGTGTACACGGAATTGCTTCTCATCGTTCCTGGTCTCTCAATGCTTTGTATGTACACACTTTGTATCCTGAGTGTGTATGGGCTCGAGTAGATGGGATGTGCACAGCCTACGGTGGTGACCCGAGTAAGCAACAAGTGGCATTTGTAGCACACACAAAAAGAAGATAGAAACTGGTGTCTTGTGGGCTCCAGAAAGGCCGTCCTACACTTTAATTGCTATGCAAGTGTGCCATGAGCTGGATCTAATAGAACTCCGCTAGATTATCTAGGCTTTCGTTATATAAGATTAGGCCTATACGATCATAGATTCTTCAGCCACATGCGTCAGATACCACTTCACTATATATTTAATTTTAACCTGGAGAAAGTGGACCTGTGCTCAAAAGAACTGGGTATTATATTTTATCTCCATCTGTATCAAACCCTCATCTCTCCCCCCAAAAAAAATCATATTACTTTTTACTAATAGTGCTGAATTCTTAATTTTCCTTTCCGCGATCAACAGGCTATCCCCCCAAGCGCACCATTTAACCCCATCGATCTGACTGCCGACTCGGACGACGATGAAAGGCGTGAGGAAGCTTGTGCACTGTAAGTTGCAATTGCTACATGCCACTTACATATACAGTCCGCTCCCCTCGAATATCTGGCTGTGAACGAAGCTTTTCGGGAATCAACCACGGCCGGGTTATTCGTTTCTAGGTACAGAGCTAATATTACATACGCAGACTACGATACATTTCCTAGTAAGCTGTAACCCAAGTTGATACACATGCGACTTACGTAGTGCTCAATGGACGTACCCACGATGTCTTCCGATTATTGACATCTGCGCATGTAATATCTACATACAGCTCGACCGCCCCTCTGGCTACAAAACGCCCGTCTAGGTCGCTGGGCCTTGCTAAGCCAAGCAAATTCAAACGGCGGAGAAACGGCTCCATCACCTCCTACTTCAATGTGGTGTGTCCGAAACCCCCTGAAACACCCATCAAGGAACTCAAGCATGCTGGTAGCACGATGAACTCTGAGAAGGCTCCCCCGGTTGTGGATGTACGTGCTTCTGGGAGCGGTGCAATTGTGCTGCCAGCTGCGGTCCAGTTGGATCTGCATAGGAGTCAGCCGTCGGAGACGGAACTGAAGGGTAAACAACCCAAACTTTACGATGCTCACAAGGGTGCAGATGTCGATAAGCACTCAGTTCGGGACTCTGATACTGAGCAGACAGCTAGTATATGCCCAAGCAGCATGCCCTCCAAGCCTGAGACCAGTGTGAGGTGGGAGATGGCTACGAATAAGAAGACAAATTTGAGCGACTCCATGCCTGTTCCGCAGACAGCTAGTACAGGTCATAGCAGCATACCACCCAAGCCTGAGACCAGTGTGAGGTGTGAGATGGCTACGAATAAGAAGACAAGTTTGAGTGACTTCATGCCCGTTCTGCACGCAGCCAGCATAGGTCAGAGCAGCATACCACCCAAGTCTGAGACCAGTGTGAGGTGTGAGATGGCTACGAATAAGAAGACAAGTTTGAGTGACTTCATGCCCGTTCTGCACGCAGCCAGCATAGGTCAAAGCAGCATACCAGCCAAGGCCAAAGCCAAGCGCAGTGTGAGGCGTGAGAAGGCACCACAGCAGAAGACCTCATTGAATGACTGCATGCATGTTGCGCAAAAAGTTGTTTTGGGCCAAAATAGCTTGCCATCTAAGCTCAAGGCCAGTGTGAAGTGTACACAGACAACGAATGCGAAGACCGCTAGGGGCGCCTTCAAGCCCGTACGGTCCGGTATGATTCACCTGTAAATGGAACTTTTGATCTGAGACATGCCAATGTTCGACATTTGATACTATTTACGTATATACAACATATGCATACTACAAGACAGTCAAACATAGAACACACTCTTGATGTACTTCGTTGGAATATCCAGTGTATTCTCGAAGACATGACTTGCAATCACAGGTATAGCTTGAACATGCACATTGCTTTGTTTTGTCTACAGCACACAACCATGCGGCGCAGCGTGACAGTGACCAGCGGCAGTTCAGCTTCGGCGGAAGCGCTTGGGGTCAACAGTGTCGCTCTAACGGTCCCCCACCAAGTCTGGCTCAGGTATACAGGACGTACATGGAAGTATGGGGCATGATGATATGTGTGCCATTTCACGATATACAAACAATATGTACCTCAAATCATACGCTTTGAGCTTTATATATATGTTTTTTATACACGCAGCTACATGCGTGGGGGTACTTTTAACTTTTACTTGCTTTCGATCGTATATTTTTCCGCACATACGCGCGTGGCATGCGTACACCCGCGGGTGGTGTGTCTTCTTGCGTGTCAAAAGTTTATATGCTGTTTGTATTGATCTCATACGTGTAAACTGTATACAAATTGTTTGTACTGATTTATATGTGCGAGTTCTGCGCAGGCGCTTGGGTCAAAAGATTGTCGATGTTTCAGGAAGGCGTGCACGCGTCGCGATATCAGCCGGATCACATTCGACCTTATACATACAGCAAACTAGCAAACAAATAAAACCCAGCATTCCAACCCCTAAACCCCTAAACCCCTGTAACCCAGCAGACCATGCGAGAGAACATCAAGCTCCCCACACTCAACACACAACAGATGGCAGCTGTCCAAACGCCGTTCGATAAGGCTACACTCATAGTGGCAGGTACGTACAACTACCTGTACACCCACACCTGCTTTGTTCGTCTATCTGCCATGTCGTATCCACTCGGCTCATGATCTATGTGTACACCAAACACACGCGTGGAGCGCAAGCGTGTGTGCGTCATGTGGGTGTATATGACGCGTGTGTGCATGCAAATGGTGTCAACGTACATGCTCTGAGAAGGAGTGCGGAACACAGTGGAGACGCTTGTACGCACCGGTAGGTGCGACAGATTGCGTCTGAATGACTATTATATATTTTGAGACAAGTGATGTGTGCTTATTGTGTGGATGTAAATAAGTGTCGTGTCCTTATTAGGTTTCCGTAAATAAGTGTTGTGTGCTTATTATGTATATGTGAATATGGAGTTGTGGCTGTGCTTGATTTCGGCACATTGGCATGGTTGGCAACTGATGTTGCATACCATCTCAGGCGGATGTAGCTGTTATCATTCCCGCATGTGCAATGTAGTACTGCTACCAGTTCTAACTACATTGAAAGCATGCTGGTATACACACTGTGATGATAGAATCCATACACATAATTACACAGTGGCATTTGGATAAACGCCGATATATATATATGTGTGTGTGTGTGTGTATGTATGTATGTGTGTATATGTATATATATATATATATATCCTCACCGACAACGTCACATTGGAGAGGTCTTTCAGTGGTGTGTGTTTGATAGACAGCTGGATGTTGTATGAGCGTTTCCTTATGTGCCCCCCAACTGTGCGATGTCGATTCTCTGCACAATAGCCGTGTTGGTGCTGTCATGCGCACATCAAACGTATTGATGCTAAGAAGTAAATCCGATTATATGGATGCTCATGTGTTATTTATATACATGCTACTATGTTAACTGGACATGCTGGTATATCAACCCTACTCTGTGCATGCTACTATGGTAACTGTACATGCTCCAATGTTAATCGAACTCTGTGCATGCTACTATGTGCGCACGGACAACTATACAGGAGCCGGGACAGGAAAGACACGGGTGATTACCACTCGCATCCTGGCCATGATCAAGTCAGGAATAGCCCCATCATCCATTCTGGCTGTGTCATTCACCAACAAGGCAGTGTACGAGATGCGTGAGGTGTGTTGGTTGAACGTTTAACTGGTGTGAGGGTACCCCGTGTGACTGTTGTGGAGTGTTTAATTATAGTCACGGACCGTCCTAGCTCTTTTATTTGCCAGCACAGCCGTGCGTGTGCAATATAATCATGCAAGATATACATGTGCATATACGCAGATAAATATTCATCCGACATGTGCATATAAGCAGTTACACGCATATACTTAGAAGTAGATACATATACATCACACTTGCACATACACACAGATACGTATACATCTCACATGTACTTATACGCAGCTAATTATGCATCACACATATACATATAGGCAGATACACAGGCACCACATATGTGCATATAAGCAGATATACATCCATCACACATGTGTATATGAGCAGCTACACGCAGGTACATAGACACCATACATGTACGTATACGAAGATACATATACATCATACATGTACATATACGAAGATAAATATAATTACACGTGTACATATACGCAGATATACATACATCACACATGTGTATATGAGCAGCGACGCACAGGTACATATACATCATACATGTAAATATACGAGATACATATACATCACACATGTACATATACGCAGATATGAATACATCCGTTATGTGCATATAAGCAGTTACACGCATGTACTTAGAAGCAAATGCATATATATTATACATGTACATATACGCAGATACATATACATCGCACATGTGCATATATGCAGATACATATATATCACACACGTGTATATACGCAGATACAAATACATCCGACATGTGCATATATAAGCAGTTACACACATGTGCTAAGAAGCATATACGTATACCTCGCCCATGTACTTACAAAATATAAATCCGCTTCCCTTCAGAGGCTGGCGGCTGCAATACCTGCGCCGTATGCAGGCGCTGTCAACATCTGCACACTGCACGGGTTGTGCTATAGCATGGTCATGTGCCACTACAGTGCCCTGCACTACCAGAAGAAGCCCGGCCTACTCCTGGATGTAAGTTGCTTTATGTCTTTCATATAGGTTGCTAAAACCCTGAATCCCTAAACCCCTGCCCGTTGGGTGGTAGGGAAATTTGCCTTGTATGGACTCCTGCTAGCATTCATATTTTCTCCGCATGCTATTTGTCGGCGCGAATCCATTGACCCGATGTCTGTATAGGCCCTCACCCACCCCTCCCCCAAACACTCTCTCGTCACGTGTGGCTTTATCTTTCTGTAGTATCAGAAGCGGAAGCTTGTCACGAGTGTGCTGATTCAGATCGAGGACAGCCACCAGAAGAAGGCGCTGACATCGCTGTTGAAACTACAGACGCATAAGGACCACTCCTGGGCTCAGCTGTTGGAATTGGCCGAGACCTTCCTCGACAAAAAGGTGTGTCATGCGCATGTAGCCCGTTATCTCCGGTGGAATAGCTTAAGCATGGTCTAACCTTTGCCACTCCCTTATAACCCCTACACAGCTCAATGCGCTCGTGCAGGAGTTTTGTAACCTCAAGCCGTCTAAGAACGTAGAGGACATCAGCATTGAGGCCAACTACCTACTCCATCACTATGTCCTGGAGTGCTGCAAGAATAAGCTAATGCCTTTCAGAGACAGAAAGGTATTTGAAGGCACAGCCCTACTGTCCGTTTTATATCGCAGGAATACACCCCTTTTCGTCTGGCGCTTTGCCATTGTGTGCGTTTGTACTTCCATTGCGGGTGGGCAGAGGCGTGTGTGGCTTACATTGAACTCCCCATTTTGTCCCACAGAAATTTGCGGTGCCAAGCGCAGAAACCGTGAAGAAGGCTACCAAACTGGTAAGTCTCTGTACACCCCCGTTAACCCCTTTGGCTCTGTTGCATTGACTGTTGCCGTTTGTCTCTAGTTGTGTAGCAAATTAAACTCTTCTATGCACCCCTCTCCTCCCCTTTTATTTGCGCAGTGGAATTTTGCAAAGCAGAACGACTATACGGCAGCGGACTACCTCGACGACAATAGGTGACTGTGACTGTTTCTGTGTCTGTGGTTGTGCCTGTGTCTGTGTCTGTGCCTGTGCCTGTACCTGTGTCTGTGCCTATATACATATACAAATACATATATATATGTGTGTGTGTGTGTGTGTGTGTATATATGTATATATATATATATATAATTCCCCGCTCCACGCCTGTGTATTTGGTGAGCCTTCTAACCTTTTACTACGCATATATTCCGGAAATGTACCTTGTTTAGGCTCATGCTGGCCCGTACCACTGCCGAGTGTCTTGAGAACAATCTCGTGGACTTCTTCGATCTGCTGTTGTGTGCTCGGAAACTGCTGACGGATGAAGTCGATGTCAAACGGAAATATCTGGACAATTTTACCCACATCCTTGTGGATGAGGTTTGTTTCGGTGCAATTGCCATCAACCCAACTTTATATGTGTATGAAACTAGTATGCATGTCATTCGCGGGCGCACGCAGTCCGCACCGGCTGATGATCCATGGGAAGCGGTGTCGCATGTGTACCGTATGTGTGCGTATGTGTACAGAACATCTCCGAGTTGAGAACGAGACTTTGGAGAAAGCTGGGCCTGTGTATGCTGGTTGTATCACTTTCTTGAAACTCGTACGTTCCGTTATTGCATTATTAATGTGTTCAACCTCCGTCACCCTCTTACAGTTCCAAGATCTCAACTCAATCCAATACGACATATTGAAGATGTTGTCCACGAATGTGACCGCTGTCGGAGACGATGACCAGGTTTGTCGTACGGCTGAACTGTGTGTCTTCACATACCGTTGCAGCCATAACTTCGTGCGTCCTTGTGTGTATCTGGCTCGCATTCCCAACACAACAGATATATATTATATGGGTAGAACTCAGTATCATCTGTGGCATCCGCACCCTGTATATTCTTAGTACCTGTAATCGTGGAAGCTGCACAGTACTTGTTGACCTCTGTGTGCGCTTTGATCATTCTTCGTCTGTTATATCGTCTGGCTGAGCTACATCTACACGCCCTTACTTCGCACAGCTGTGGCATCGATGCATTGTATGGTGCGATACACTCCAATTGGACTGCCGTGCCACTTTCAAGACCATCTTGTCTCATTCATACACCTACTATCACACCCGTATACCCCTATGCTGTATTATGTGTACTCACTGATCCCTTTCTTTTCTCTGGCAGTCTATCTTTGGCTTCACCGGCGCGGATTCGGACCTGATTTTCGAAGACTTCCGTCTAACGAGTGGCCTCGCGGCGCTCAGCGACAACTACCGTTGTTCAGGCAACATTCTAAGGTTTGCCACACAGTGTCCGAAGGGTATCAACGGCCGAGTATGTTTGCAGCCATGTGCCTGTCCTGTGTGGTTGTCGGATGATATATAGCGCTTGTTGTTGTTCTGAGAGCAATACCTTTCGAGCTCTTGTTTGGCGCGCTTTGTTTATCTGTATTGTACCTAAGCATATCTATATTATATATATATATATACATATGCCCCCACCAGGTTGAGAAGACTCTACGCACAACTAAGGCGGATGGAGCGCCCGTGCGTGTAGTCAACGTGCCTTCGTCCATCTCCCAGGCCGAATACATCGCCAACGAAGTGGAGGAGTATCACAAGACACACCCACACGTGTCACTGAGCGAGATTGCTGTACTGACGCGCATATGGAAGGGTCGACTGAATCCCCACGTGCGACTTGTAGAAGCGGTGGGTGTGGCTGGTCTTGCACTATATGTACATGTACACTGTATATATTAGTAACTCTGTGCTGGTTCACATACTTGCCGTAGGCCTGATTGAATTCATATATATATGTGTGTGTGTGTGTTTGTGTGTGTGTGTGTGTGTGTGTGCGTGTATGTATATATATATATATGCGCAGTACGATCGCACGGGACAACTGTGGGTGTAGCTCTCACTCCACCACCTGCTACAGTTTCGTTCTATGTTCCGTCTTATCGCTTGATACACATCCCTCTGACTTATCTGTCACTAAATACAAATTTTTCCGACTCCTCGTCACTTTAAAATACAAGTTTGTCTGATTTCTGTGTCAGTTTCGAATACAAATTTATCTGATTTCTCTGTCACTTCTTACAACTTTATCCGATTCCGCTTACACAGGAATTAAGACGGAGAGACATACCCGTTAAGATTGTTGGTGGCAAATCCGTATTCGACAATGCCGGCAAGTCACTTGCTCGAACATTATTGACACAACTTGTTCAATGCGTTTATTGACTCTTATGTATTCGCTGCTGTTGTTTCCTCTATGTACCCTCTATGTACTTCTTGTTGTGTGGCGTTCATTCTATTCCCTGTGGTGTACAAGTTTTCTTCAATACCAATACATCGCCTAATCGTAACGCTTATACACAACGTGATACAGATGTCAAACTGATGGCGCTTCATCTACGCTTTGTTCTGGATAGTTCCGATGACTTTGCCTGTTTGGAAGCCCTAGCCGCTTGTCAGTATGTCCTGTCACTGTACTAGTGCATATACGTATACGTGTATACCTCGTATACGTGTATACCTCGTATACGTGTATACCTCGTATACGTATACAATTATATCTTCTATGCTTTCATATTCGTATACAAGTATTACTTTGATGTCTTCGTATACATGTACAAGTACTCCTTCTTCTTCTTTTTAAACGTATACAAGTATTTTTGTGACGTCTACACATACCTATACAAGTATTTATTTTATGTCTCCATATACGTTTGTACGCTCAAGCGTGTACGGTGTAAGTATAAGTATGTATATATCTGATTCATATCTAACGCACGAAATTGGGGTATGTACGTTGCTTTTCATATACTTCTGTGCGGTATAGTAACCGCAGCTTTCGGTTACTCTACCTTCCCTGGCTCACACTTCTTCGCGCCACCAACAACAGTGGCATAGGGGAGAGGGCCATTGAGAAGGTCAAGAACATCCACCAGGCGCTCAAGGCCTCGTGTGTATTCGACACCCTCAATCATATAATGCTCACCGGCCGAGTAGGTAAGCGTATATGCCACCCACAAGCCAATAGGTGTAGGCGATATTAATGTGTCTAGGTATGTATTCAGGTGTACGCGTGCGTGATATCATCAGATACTGAAACTGTAATCGCCCTTACTTATGTTTTCAGAGCGCAAAACTCTAAACATCATTGAACAGTTCCTGGCGACCTACGAAATGTGGTGCACAAGTAGCATTCATCTGGACTTGTGCTCCCTTCTAAAGGTATGTTTTGCATGAGTCTTTCACGTGCATATATGTATGTATATATATATGTGTGTGTGTGTTTGTGTATATATATATATTTATATATTTATACATCTCTCTCTCTCTCTCTCTCTCTGAATATATATATATATGGATATATATCTATATATATCTATATATATATATATATATAACAGCGTATGAATACCGCATGTACGCGTACATATGTGGCGTTAGCGTATCGCTGATTTGTTGATCTTCCTGTTGATTGATGTTTCACGCAGCTTGTCTACGACACCTCTAATTTGAAGCAGTTGAAGAAACGGAAACATGAGCGCAAACAAGCTGAAAGGTGAGTTCAATCATTTGGGGCTCTAATACGTTTAGTGCTGTGATCTCTATTGTGCCATTTGACACTGATGCGATTGCGCTCAATTGTATATATTGTGGGTGCTTCTGTACTATTATATACTATTCATATAGGTGATGGTAGTAAGTTCGAAGTTGCGGTTTTAGAGTTTATGGTTTTTAGGTTCGGTGGAGCAGATGCCACATGCAGAAAATACATACAGTCACTGTTTCCTATAACAATACAATACCAATCATTCTACACCCACGCTGAAACCTGCAGAGACCTCGACAACACACCCAACACCTCCACGCACAAGACAAAGCAGACACCCCGCCTGGAATCTAGCTATGACAGCACCTCTGATGAAGATTCGGACGAGGACGTGGAAGGTGCGGCTACCGACACTTACAGGTATATATTATCGTTATATTATATGAGCCTGATTGTTGTTGTTTGTGTGGTGCATAAGCGTCTGTCATATATCGAGTACGCTTTGCATTAATTCGATGTGAGAAACATTCAAGCCCACTTAATCAGACCCATAATATAACAATAATTGCACCCACATTTTACATTCTCTTGCATATCTCCGGGATCCCTAAACCTCGACTGTGAACACTTTCTTGCCATCGACTTCGGCCGAAAGCAACCCACAATTTATCCGGGTAAGGCCTAAACCCCTGTACCCCTAAAACTCTAAAACCCTGAAATCGGTGCCCCATTATGTTGTACATGGGCGCTGGTATGTATGGCGCATGTGGTGTTAGCTATATTAATTCCCAGTTTGTTACTGTCGATTCATATGAGTGGATACTACGGTGGTATTGACCTACTGTGTATGTTTGTTGCGATCGATCCATACGAGCGGATACTACGGTGGTATTGACCTTCTGTGTATGTTTGTTACTGTGGATGCGTATGAGCGGATACTACGGTGGTATTGATCTACTGTGTATGTTTGTTGTTATCGATTCATATGAGCGGATACTACGGTGGTATTGATCTACTGTGTATGTTTGTTGCTATCGATTCATATGAGCGGATACTACGGTGGTATTGATCTACTGTGCATGTGTGTTACTGTGGATGCGTATGAGCGGATACTACGGTGGTATTGATCTACTGTGTATGTTTGTTGCTATCGATTCATATGAGCGGATACTACGGTGGTATTGATCTACTGTGCATGTTTATGAGCGAATACTATGGTGGTAATGAACCACTGTGCATGTTTGTTGCTGTGGATGCGTATGAACGGATGCTACGGCGGTATTGATCTACTGTGCATGTTTGTTGCTGTGGATGCGTATGAGCGGATACTATAGTGGTATTGATCTACTGTGCATGTTTGTTGCTATCGATTCATATGAGCGGTTACTACGGTGGTATTGATCTACTGTGCATGTTTGTTGCTGTGGATGTGTATGAGCGGATAATATGGTGGTATTGTTCTACTGTGCATGTTTGTTGCTGTGGATGCGTATGAGCGGATACTATGGTGGTATTGACCTACTGTGTATTGTATTCGATCTGCAAAACAGAACCTGACGGAGGAGGCACGATACTTCCTGACGAAAAGAGGAGCGATACTGAATAAAGAGGGCCGTCCTGTGCCCGTGCCAGCCGACCCCTCCTGGACAAAAGACCCACCTGATAGTCTACGGGAGATGTGTAGGAGAGTGATAGTGCAGGAGGTTAATGTATGTTTATCATTACCTGTTTGGGGAGATGTGTAAGAGAGTGACCCCTCCTGGACAAGCGACCCACCTGATAGTCTACGGGAGATTTGTAGGAGAGTGATAGTGCAGGAGGTTAATGTATGTTTATCATTACCTGTTTGTGGCAGATGTGTAAGAGAGTGTCCCCTCCTGGACATGGACAAATGACCCACCTGATAGTCTACGAGAGATGTGTAGAAGAGTGATAGTGAAAGAGGCCAACGTAAGTTTAGCACTATAGTTTATTTGAAGTTCCTTGTTGTGTGTTGCATTTAACCCCAACCAGCATAGCGTCATCTCCGTAGGTGATATAGTAGCGATATCTGCTAACGCCCTGTACCCTCTTGACTATAGGCGCGCCCGGAGTTTGCCAAGCAGTGTATTGCGACACTCGACCAAGTGATTTTGGGTGAGATCTACGAACGGCACCACGTGGGACCGGTGATCTTGAGCGAGTTTCTGAGCTCTGTTGGACTAGGGGATACTGGGGTATGGCTTTTAATGTGCGTATCGCATATCTTTTCGATATACATCGTCGTGGTGTGGGTGGGGTTGTGAGAGCCCCGGTATTGCATTGCGTGGTGTATCCGTCCGCGAACCATAGCAACCACGTGTGTACTGGTTTTGCCTAGGTATATGGAGGATGCTATGTTGAACAACTGACACCCGGCTTTGGGTGGGGGATTACCGATGTATGAGGCTCGTCTTGTATGGGTGAAATGCCCACATATGTGTCGCTTTGTGCATAGATGCAGTATGTGTGTGACTGTGTGAGCTCTGGTAGTGTCACCGTAAACTATTGAGTTAAGATTATTCGGGGGGTGATTGGCCTGGTGCTCAGTTCGTTATAGCTACTCAACTATAAATCATGAACCCCGTTCGGATTGAACTATGCAGGAAGCCAAAGGGCAAGAGGAGGAAGCAGACAAGGGAATGGTCACCATTTCAACGATTCATAAGGTAGGTGTATATACATCCTGGGTCTTGGGCGAGTACATGCAAATGATTCACCCGAACACTGCACCTCAATAGGCCCTTTCGCGCAAACGAGACAATGTTGACCATTGGAACATATTCTTCTGAAAGCAAACACCGACGTTAGTCTACAGGTAGATGTGCTCAATAAGTCGGCACCCAGTATTCAAGGAACATGCAGTGTTTATTAAACCCATGTAATACTCTAATACATTTACAATCCATGCATACCCGCTTCTGTTAGGCCAAGGGATTGGAGTGGAATGTGGTGTTCGTAGTGTTCTGGAATGATGGTATTCTGCCCATGGCGTATGAGGATCGCGATAGGAATCTCAGGCCACCAACTGTACCGCAACAATCTCCTCTGAACACCCCAAAGTCCACTTCTAAGTCTGACCAAAAGTCTGGCCCTAAATCTAAGCATAAAATCAATACGCCAGCCGAGAATGGGGCACCTGGACATACAAGTGGGACATCTGGTAGCACAGAGGTGTGTGGTGTGTGCGAACAACTCCTTTTTGACAGTACTTTGCTGCGCGCATAGAATAGAATACATCTAGTGTTAACATTGTGCGACATGCATATCGATGTCTACTATCACGGTTGTATCCTGTAGACACGCCGCTGTCGTAGGCCGATACAAACTGTTCCACTAAAGCAATGCACCACCATACCTGCAGGAACGACACCACAGGCTACGCGCGAGTATCAAAAAGGTGCGCGATCAGGAGGCGATTGAGGCCAAGCATCTGGACGAGGAGATGAAGATGGCCCATGTGGCCTGCACTAGGTGTGCAGAGTGGTTGAACATAGAAGCGAATAAGTAGAGTTAGAGCTTTGTGTGTGAGAGCCGGGTATATAGTGCTTGCTCGGGTCAATAGTGCCGCACAGGCTTGACTTGTCTTTGCGGAAAGGTCGCATCTATTGCGGTGTGGTCTTATTGCGACCCTCGCGGGCTTTATGTTCCTGTTCCATTGTCATCACCAAATACCAAATACATACTTTCCACAAATGTGCACTCCGCTCAAATTGCACATACACATACGCCGCCTTTCACAGCCCGTTAACGGGTACCCCTCGCAAGTACCTCTGGTTTATATACTTACGCCGGCGTTTAGCAGTTCGTTGATTAACGGCTTTCTTATCTCACTTTTTTTTTCGACCACACCACAGGCCTCGCGACCATCTGCACGTGATTTCAGTCGGAGTTTTAAACGATGGTGCCCTACCTATGTTGGCCTGTCCTTTTGTGGACTATGATAAAATGCCGCCAGGATCCATTGATAGAATCACGTATGCTCTATATCTTCTCATCAACGTGTAAGCTTTTCGCTGGTCGTGGATCGCTTAGACCCATCCGTGTCTTGTGTAATGGGTTCGCCACTGATATGGTGAACAGCAAAGCATGCCAACGCGGCTCTTATAATATATGTACCCATTTCTACCACCACCCCATTCACAAACACAATCACAGGTATGAAAGCAAAAACGACTTTAGGCGGCCTCGTGAACATCGCTGGTACGAAGAGGACCCTGGTCGCTTTGAAGAAATAGGATCATACCGACACAGTCGGTTTCGCAGTGCACACTCTAGCGCTAGTCATCTCAATCTCCGCAGACAAGGAGCGCAAGCAAACCGCTCACGCGACTTAGATCAGCGATTCCCAGATTTCCAAACCGGTATTGTTGAGTGTTTAAAATTACGCGTTCCTACTCGTTTTCTAGTATGTGAATGGAATGTTTAGGTTTATAACTCAAATGTGTACACCCTTTTGTATATTTGCAGCGGCGAGAATGTATGGCTGGTGAGATCCGTAACGTTTGATTGGCACTAACGTGCTGCACGCGTTATAATTCTACCTGAGCGTTCACTCGCTCAATACAATGTTTGTGCCTCTGGCTCCCGAGAAGTGATTAAATAGTTTTTGTCGCAGTTGTTAGGCTACCTTTATTTTTGAGCACCGTATTAATAAAACTGACTACAATCGCAATTACACGTATATAATAGGTTGAAATCTCGTAGTGGACAAGGGTGCATCACGTTCCGATTTATCGCGCTATATAGACTATTAATAGGTATTACAGTTTATACCAAGTTCACAGCTAAAAGTAATGGATTTGCGCTGATACCAAAAACTAATCTTGTAAACCATTCTACTAATATGTATCAGTACTTGATTACGTCTCAGCATTATATAAGGAGAAGTAAAATTGTTGCCACTATAAGATATATGTGCAGCATTTGTATACTGTGGGCTCTACTATTTAATTATGTTCTCCTTGGCCCAAGCAAATCGCGCGCCAAACGGTACTCTGCGAACACTAAAAACCACCTTACATGCCCTAGGGCAAATCCGCTTCAGGCACGTAACGATTCTTTGTTAAAATCATTAGTTTGATATAAAATCTAGTTGTGTTCGAAGCATAATATTTATGAGAGTACCCAAAAAAAACCCCCATTTTAAGTTCGGCGCTCGAAGCACATACCGAAGTTTAGAGAATGGTGTGGTCGATATACCCAAAACAGGGTTTATTCTATTAAAATAGTTTACTTAGTTTTTTATTATAGAATCTGTAAGCTTGGTTTATGCGATCATTTGTTATGAATGGAAAAGCACATGAAAGTTTTGGTTCATTATTTAATTATTTCCAAATAGAATTATTAATAAAGAAACGACGTCTCCCCTTGTGAGAGGGGAGTATTTTTAGATACAGTTACCTTCGACTATACCCCATTTAAAATTAATAGTACGTTGCTCATTTTTTAATGATCTGAGAATAGAGTATTGATAAAGAGAGATCTTACTTCAACATATACCGGAGAGGTTAATACATTGACCGTCAAGATCAATCGAGAGAGTAGCGTCAATAGCACGCGATATGGCCGGGAAAGTAAGTCGATCAGCGACAATACTAGCAGCGATACCTGTGAATCGATGCCTGCGCTTTATACGGACAGCAGTAGCGATGCATACAGTAGTACAGGGGCCAATAATTGTAGAAGTCAAACTATACATAGAGAGCCCCACAATGCACGAGTCAGAAACATGACAACGAGAATATACAAAGAGAGACAGACGAGACAACTACTATTCATAGATGTCGAATACTAGAAATGTAACGGTCCAGAAAATCATCGGCGTCAGCGCAATATCGCAGGTGATTACGAAGACGACACACCTACAGCAGACTCTGGCCAGTCCGTATGGACGCCTGTACCGGAGAAGCACTGAGAGGTGAGGGTGTCTGACGCGGATGTAGCTCTGATATTTGTAAATACGTTCAGTGAGGTAATGGTGATTGAAGTCCCATTTCTCGCAGCGGACATCCGAATCTACATACAAATACAACTAAATGGGCGCACGTTCAGAGCATTAGTAGACACGGGAGCAAACCGAAACTGCGTCGCGACGACATCCACAGAACAATAAGGCCGTCCCATAACCCTAGCACCATCTGGTTTGTTCATCTATTTCGCTGGCAAGGCGGTACGAACTCAATGACTGGGGACGACGGAAGTCCTACCCATACGGCACAGTACAGTACAGAGATCATAAAGAACTTACCAGACGTTATAGACATCACCTTGGGCCAAGACATGATGAAAGGCCAACAGATCCTACAGAGTTAGATGCCCTCCTTGAACCGATACCACGACGTCAAGCACCTAGCACAACGGAGCCGGCTGATGTACGACAACGGTTAACATGAAAAGTAGAGGCGAACGCAGCCATTGCCGACAACGCACGCTGTGGCCTCGAGAGAGCGAGGCATCAATCCCGGTCACGAGTGAACAAGCAATGAGCATGTGTAGATCCACAAGCAACTTTGTGCCTGATAGATGGCTACCTTGTGTCGACGAACAAGTACATAAATGGTTGAAGGAGTTAGTAATTGCAAAGTGTACAACACCAACGACAGTCAACCTTCCGTTGCTTGCGGTGCCAACGTTTGATAGTGAGTGTGGGTGAGGTGAAGAAGGGGAGGGTCTGTTTGGACATGGAAGCACTAAACGCATTCATTCCGGGTGACCAATTCTCAATTCTGAAAGTCAACGAACTCATTTCTCTTCTACAAAGCCAGAACTATTATACAACGTTGGACATATCGGCCGCATATCATGGACTACCGATACATCCGGACTCGCGATATTTGTTTAGCTTCACACACGAGAGGTACAAATACTCGTTTACATCGGCATATTTTGGTCTTCACGTGTTGACGCAATAATTCAAGCGCACGATGAGTACCGTACTCGACGGGTTACCGATGCACCACTATATAGATGACAGTGATTGCCAGTGACGACTACGAAAAACACATGACAACCGTGAAGGAAGTATCAGACGTCTCACGTATCACAGCTTCAAACTCAATCCAAATAAATGCCACTTTGCGATAGCAGAAGTGATGATATTGAGTTTGAGTAAGAAGGTGTCAGCACAGAGTAACGATATCGACTTTGAGTAGGCGGCGAAGTAACTCGACTGGCCGACACAGCAACGATACTAAGACATCGCGTCGGCGTTAGGTATGGCGAACTATCTACATGAGCGCTAGCGTAAATTTGCACACGTAGTAGCACCATTACGAAAGTGTTGTAAACTCAAACCAAGTGATTTGATTGGCGGTCGATGGAACTAACGACACGCAGAAGCATTGCAGGAGACGAAAAATGTAATTTTATAATGCAGTACCGTAACACTTCCCAGTGGAAGGAGTGTCGTTGAACCTTGAGACATAAACAGGCGACTACGGCATAGGCGGCGCTCTAATTCAGTGGATCGACGGTTTACTTGATGTCCTCCAGTAAGATTCTGAGCCACGCCTAACAGAACTATGCTTCACCTATGAAGGATTTACTGGCGTTAGTGAATGGTTTAGCTCACTTCCGCGATCACCTCGATGGACAACGTTTCGCGGTCTGCACAGACCACAAGGCGCTGGTGCACATGTATACACGGGTCAAGCTCAGCCCGATGTTGCAGTGGTGGCACCATATGACTGCATCTTTTAACTTTACGATATCGGGAGCGACGAATGTGCTCCCAGATACGTTGAGTACACGAAGGCGCGGCAGAGAGTGATGTACCCGAGATATATTCCTTTGAGCAAGCCCAAAAGATCTTCGAATCGAATAATGTAGTCGTATTTGCAGTCCCATGCAATGCTCAACTACCGCATACCTTCTGGAAGTAAACACCTTGGGGTCACACGGTAGTAAAAAGGTTAGTGAGGACGACAGGAGTAGGCGTAATCCTAAATACTTTGATGACGTTTTACGCTAAAAGCCCGAGAGTAATTTGGGACATCTCTATGTATAGGTGGATCAGCCAATTGGGACTTCTTCTCAAAATATTCTATATATGGGCGGGCCACCGGCTAGCCGAGAGCCGAGGCCCGAGACTGAGAGTGCTTAACAGTGAAAGTGATATATTTATCTCTAGAAATATATCAGAGAACTAAAGTGTTCTGCATTAGGTTTTTCATGCTTTACCCTGGCCAACCCAAGTGGTTGAACACTAGTACAAACACTATCAGTATATAACTGAAGCTGAGATAAAAATAAATTTATATTCGAACGCACCACTCTTTAGACACACTTCAGCTTACTTGTATTCCCCCACCCAACACGCTAACAGTTAGATCCACCTAGTGGATTTGAGTTTGACCTACACTTCTCACAACGACTCAGGTATGAAGAGCCACGACACTTACTATACCACCGGTGCATAGATACATCGCGAGCACTATCATGGCTAACACTGAAGGACAACTAGCGTTCGCACAAGCAACACCAACCAAATAACTTCCGACGCACACAAATGACGCATGCCCAACACGAACAAGGACACCGCGGGGCAGCAGACACAGTCCAACAATTACAACACAATGGGTATGTGTGGCTTGGAGTGTGGAGCTAGCGACGGAAGTTAACCGACAAATGCGGTGTGTGCTTAGGTCAAGATACGCTACACAAAGGCTTCCATCCCATGATCAGCATTGATGCATGGTATCCATGGGATCACATTCAAATTGCCTACTTCCCTAAACCGATCATATCCCGAAGGAAGAATGAATTCATCCTCCACGTACTAGATGTGGCTACAGGCTTTTCAATCCTCCGCACCACATCAGATAAGACCAAGGAGACAACAGTACAGACGTTGATAGAGATCTTCAGTGAACACGGATATGCACGCATGATACAAACGCACATGGGATCGGAATTAACGAACAAGTCGTAGAACTACTGGTAAAGGGGGTAGGGATGCTATACAAAGTGTCACCAACATATCGCCCACAAGTGCTGGGAGCGGCGGGACGTCGTCACAAAGACATCACATGATCAATACGTATGTGCTGCGAGGATGAACTAAAAATATCAGAACCTCCACATCTCGCGTAGACACAAGAGCGCCCCATTCAGTGTGTATTTCGGTCGTCGGTAGTTCCCGTTCGCCGATTTTTCTGACTGTCGCATTACCAGAAGCCCAAACAGCCACCAACGATACGTGGGTACAACGCTTGGAACAATTACAGGACACTATCCTTCCCATGCTGCGCAAGATAACGTTGAAATAAACGAACAAACTGACAGCAACGCTCGATTGCCTCCATGCCCACGACTTGGTGCATTTCGATAAAAAAGATGTAGTGATGGTGAAGTCTGAGGGCAGAATGTTACAGTGCAATCTAGTAGACTTTAAATAAAGTGCAAATGTATGTATTTCTTTCTGACCACACCTTTGGTTTTATACCTAACGTGTTTGTGCTAGTGTTCAGCCGCTAGGGCTGGCCAGGATAAAACTCATATGGTCACTATAAAAAACCTTATGCAGAACACTTGAACACTTCGATGCTATTCCATTTCAACTTCTCTGCAACTAAATCTCACGCTGATCACATGATGCCTTTCCGCTTAGGTTGTGACTCACATATAACCGCAGTTATTTTTAAAATGTTGCGGTTGACAGACTTAATCCACTCTCGAGAATCGGTTGCGAAACTTAATCTGCTCTCGGATGTC